CCCCCCCCTCCCCACACACCCTCTTTGTTGCACCCATTCCTTCCGGCTGGCTGGGGGCTGGGGGTTGTTGGATATGGTGGGGTGGCTGGGGTGAAGTAGAAAGGGGTGGGGGTGAGTCGATATTGATCCGGCAACCGCGCCCCCTCGTGCATGACCTGCGAACTAGCTAGAGCACGGTCGGTCCAAAGGCATGTCTGCTACATGTCTGGAGCCGAGTGGTTTGACTCATCATTTACGCGAAATGAGTTAACTTACAACGAAAGGTCTCGCTCGAGCGTTGTCTATTTCGGACATTGAAATGTTACGGAGACCTAATTGGACAAGGAGAGCCGCCCCTTTCTGGTCGGTGCATCGATGCTGTGTTTTGTTTTGACGTAAGTGACGCGGCGGGCGCTAGAGAGGTTGGAGTGCTGCAATGCAAATAACTGTGCGTGCTGAAGTTGGAGTGTTGTTCAGCCCTAAAAATTGTGCAGAGCTGAAGAGACACTACTCCCCTGCCGTTGTGAGATGAACTGCTTTACCTGAAAGAAAAGGCTCCATGATGTCGAAGGTAAGAGACCAGTCAACCGTTTCGAGTTGTCACCCCCGTGGCGCTGTCTAGAACTTTACATTTCATGCGCTCGTTTTCCAATATTTTAATAAGTAGTAACAAGTAGGAAACCACTGGAAATTTTTTGCACGTAGTTTCATGGTATAAATCAGTAAAGGGCTGACGCTTTTTTCATTAATCAGCACCACCCATGTCCATGTCGTCTGCTACGACCCAGCGTTTTGGCGGTAGTTCTGTCGTGTACTTTCTTTCGGTTTCTGATATCTCATGACTCAACCTGTGGGCGTTTCTGTGCAAAAAAATGTGCGAGGTTTATCTCATTCAAATGACCTATGGTAGATTCTGCATTATTTGTGTAGTTTTCATTGCAAATTATTTTCGCTGTATAGTTTTCATTGGCGAATGCAAGTTAGAGGGTTGGGGTGGAACGCACCGCTCTCAGCTCGCCCAATCAACTCCCC